TTTTATAAGTTATTTTTTAGTTTGCGATTAGAAAGACTCGAGCTAGACATAAGTTTCAGCGGGCATTGCGCTCGAAGAGCCGAAGAGGCCCGGCAAACTGCCACGAAGAGGGTCACAACAAATGGCTTCTCATCCTCTGGATTATTTAAATAATTCCAGAGAATGGGTGGCCATTCTTGTTACTACTTTGTCACTATGCTCTTTTAGTATTTGTAGTAGTATTTTTTTTTTCTTCTCCATCATCGTTTTGGGCAAATCGCGGTATTTTCTTGTTAGTGTTGCGAAAAATTGATTACGGGTTGAATTAGAGTTGCGAAATAGTTTTGAGCCTGTTTATTAGTATTGCGAGTAATTGATTAAAATTTAAATTAAAGTTGAAGAAATGATAATCGTATTTGCTTTAGTTGCGAATTATGATAATCCAAGTCCGCGATTGTTTTTTGCAATTTTGATTGTTAATTTTGATTGTTAATTTTCATAGTTGTCTTAGTGTTGTATTAATTTATTTTGCTTTCTGTTGTTTTAAATTATATTATAGTCATATATATTATAATCATTGTTTTTAATTAATTTAGAATGCTAGAGTATCTAGCATTTTAAAAATAATTTTTTGTCCGTAGCTTTTGTATTGTTGATAATAATTTTCATTGAATTTGGTTTTAGAGTTGCGACATTATTTCATCGGGGTTTCTAATTACTTTTACTCTTACAGTTGCGATAATGAATGATCGCGTTTCTTAAAATAGCGTTGCATTTACAAAAAAATTGGCATTCGATGCATTCCTTTTTAGCGGTATTTTCAGCACTGCATTTATTACTGAAAATATTGCTAAAAATATATATTTAATTTTGTTAAATTTTATTATAAATTTAATATTCATATGTATGACTGATTTCCAGTGTCATATATGAAGTAAAATAAGAAAGTATTGCAGCAATTAAATATTTAAATATTACAATGAAAATTTAAAATTCTTTTTTACAAAATAATTAAATAGTGTTTTGTAGAATATTAGCTTATTTTGAAATATGAGTTAGTATCCAATTTTTTGTTACTGGTTGTCAGTAATAATGATTGTTCGCCATCAGAGTTATTTTTTTATCATTTTTTTTTATTTTCTCTATTCTAAATGTTTCAACAATAAAATAGAATTATTTTACTTATATTCGAATTTCGTGTGCGTAAATCTTCTTGGTTTATTTATATACCTCATCTGTGTTTCTATCTGCTGTTAATGTGACATTCTTATTTATCTTAAATCGATAAAGTTGCATGCGTTACAAGATGAGATAATCAGAATTTCTGAAATTGTAAAGGTTGATTGAAACGTATCATGTTTTGTCTCTGTCTGTATATTCGTACATTTAAATTGTAGAAGGCATAGTTTTTTCGAACGATTGATATTTTAAAACATATAAAAACTCTATAACCCACGTTTAAAACCCCTATAAAATGCTAGGTCTATTTTGTATTTCTTTTGTGGTAATATTTGATTCATAGTTACTTTTGTGGATTGGTATCTCATATCATTATCATGGGTACATATAGGAATTATATGAAATTATTAGAATCTTGGCCCCTAGATAATTCAAAACCTGGCAGGTAATTTTGTTAAATAAATTAAACTTAATTTTTTTTAAATTCTTATATTTTTTTATAAATATAATACATATTTTTTATTTCTCTGTTAATACATCTTTCACTTTACTCATAATTTACAATTAGGTTAGATTTAATATTTTGAAACTTGTTAATAACTTTGCATTATATACAATTAATTATATAGTTTATAGTATTAGAATACATTGATTTTACAACATTTGATTATTACAATAATTGTTATATAATATAATTTCATAATTTTTAGAGACTTAGCTCAACACATTCGTGATCATTTAAAACTTGCTTTTGCAAAGGGTGAAGCTAGTGAAGTAAACCGTGAACAATGTGATCGTTATTACATGATTTTAAAGAGAATTTCTTCCAATCATTATGGACAGATGTATAATCGTACACTTTCAAGCACTGCCAGTGGATTAACAAAAGATCAATGTAATTTAATACTTACACCAGAAGGGTTAAAATATTATTCAGAAGAAAGAAACATTTTTAAGAATACATTTTTAAGATTATTTAAAAATGTTGTTAAAAAATAAGTTGATAAATAACATAATTCATGTACATAAATATTATAGTACGAAATATTTTAATAAAAATGTACATTATTTATTTTGGAGACAAAATGACACAATAGATCTAGAGAATAATAGAAAATATAGTGAAATAACAAACAAAACTGATCATGATGTTGATAATGTATCTCATATACCAGTTATGACTAATGAAGTATTACATTATTTGAAGCCATCTCCGGGAAAAGTTTTTGTGGATATGACATTTGGGGCTGGTGGACACTCTAAGAGAATCTTGGAATCTTCGTCTGATGTCAAAATATTTGCCTTGGATAGAGATCCTATTGCACACCAGCATGCACAAATTTTGTCAGAAAAATATCCTGGACAAGTAATACCTTTACTGGGTAGATTTTCTGAATTGCCAGAACTGCTTTGTACATATAAAGTAAATGTAAATAGCATAGATGGCTTCTTGTTTGACTTTGGTTGTTCATCCATGCAATTTGATGTTGCTGAAAGAGGATTTTCTTTGTCAAAAAATGGTCCTTTAGATATGAGAATGGATGGTTTTAGATGTTCAGAAGAACCTACAGCTGCTGAAGTTCTAGAGAAAATAACAGAACATGACTTGGCTAAAATTTTAAAAATTTATGGTAATGAAAAGAAAGCTAAAAAAATTGCACGTGCCATTATAGAGGCTCGCTATACTTTTAGGAATCTAAAAACTACGCAAGAATTAGCTCAACTTGTTGATTCTGTAGTTTCTGAAAAGAGAGTTGATCAACTTGGTAGACATGCTCACTGTGCAACAAAAACATTTCAAGCATTAAGAATTTTCGTAAATAATGAATTAAATGAGATTAACTATGGTATTGTTATGGCTGGAATATATTTAAAACTCAATGGTCGTTTAATAACTATATCTTTTCATTCTCTGGAAGACACCATTGTTAAAAGACACATGACAGGAAATATAACAGAAACTGTATCTAATATAAAATCATTAAAATATTCAGATTATGGCAAATATTACAGTTCATATGAAATGGAAGTTTTCAATCGAACACCTTGGAAAATGTTGCATAAACATGTAATAATACCTACACCAGAAGAAATAAATAAAAATCCACGTTCGCATTCTGCAAAATTTCGAGCTATCAGTAAAATAATTTAAATTATTAGAGTTTAGAATTGAGATTCTAAATACAAATAAATATTTCCATTCTTATTATTTTTTTCCAATACAAAATAATATTTATTGTATCTCTAAAATATAAATGCATTGTAACACACATGTAGAAAAAAATAAAAAAATAAAAAATTGTAACTCATTAAAAATATTGTAATGATTAATACAATATTTATTTATATGAAAATATATTATGAGAACATTTATAACATTAGAGATATAACATACTTAAAACAAGCCTTCTATTTCGTCTGTCTCATTATTCCAATCCATATCATAAATGCTTGGTCTTGTAGAAAGACCTGGCATCATCATTATCTAAAAACATAATATTATGTAACAAATTGTATGTTGTAATATTCAAATATTTGAAGTACTTACCTCTCCTACCATAGGTACTATAAAGCCTGCTCCTACTGATACAAATATATCAGTAATTTTGAGCGTGAAACCTGTAGGTGCACCTTTAATTGATGGATCACCTGTTAGGGAGTTTGATGTTTTTGCCATGCAAAGTGGTAGTTTATCATAGCCTAGTTGGTTGTACTTTTTGATTTTCTCTTGAATCTATATTCGTAATTATTAATTGTATATATAATTGTACAGATTCTGTATAATTGATAGATATGAAACAAAAATATTCTACAAACTATTGCTTACCTTGTCTGTAAGTACAACTTTTCCAGCTCCATACATTTCTTTGGCAATGGTATCTATTTTTTCTTCGATACCAACATTAAGATCATACAATAATCTGAAATTACTAATTTTATTTGTAGCAGCTATGACTGCATCAGCAAGTTCTATGGCGCCAGCACCACCCTCCGCCCAATGATTACATATAATTGCATCAGTTGCACCACTTTCTATTGCTGCTTGTTTCAGTAATTCTAATTCAGCTTGAGTATCAGTGCTGAAATAAAATTTAATGATTTTGCATTTAACAGACAAAAATATTTGTAAAGAAAATTAATTGTAAAATTTACTACCTGTGTGTATTAATGGCAACAATAACTGGAATGCCAAACTTTGTTCCATTACTAATGTGTTTCTGAAGATTTGGAAGACCTTTTTTAACTAAATTGAGATTTTCTTCGAGATATTCTTTCTTCAATGGTGCACCAGTTGTTACTGGAGGTCCCCCACCATGCATCTTCAATGCTCTAACAGTTGCAACGAGTACAACAGCGTTTGGCACATGGCCAGATGTTCGACATTTAATGTTAAAGAATTTTTCCATGCCGATATCAGAACCAAATCCAGCTTCAGTTACTACGATACCTTCTGGTCCAACTAATTTTAATGCAATAGCGTCTGCTATAATCGAAGAACAACCGTGAGCAATATTTGCAAATGGTCCAGCATGAATCATGACGGGTGTTCCTTCCAATGATTGCATCAATGTTGGCTCAATAGCGTCTTTCAATAAAATTGCCATTGCTCCGGTCATACCCTAAATGTATTACTATCGAGTAATAAAATGAAATAAATATTTGCAATTTTATAACTTGGAAAACAAATATACTAACGAAATCTTCAGCAGTTAAGGGTTCACCATTTCTGTTAAAAGCAACTACTATGTTGCCGAGTCTTCGCTTCATATCGTCGACACTAGTCGACAATGCAAGTATTGCCATTATTTCTGAACCAACAGAAATACGAAATGATGTTTCTCGCGTTTTACCTTTCTCAGTTGGATTTTGACCAATGGTAATCTTTCGCAAATATCGATCGTTTATATCAACCACTGAAATAAATATATTTTATTTGTAAAAGATTTTTCTTTTCAAAATTTTCATAGATGATAAATTCTATGTTACCTCGAGTCCAAGTAATGTTTTCTGGATCAATATCTAATCTTGCGAATCTCCGTTTTTCTTCTTCCGTTAAACTATTTGGATCAGTCTTTGCAATACCTAATTTTTCTAAACGTCTCAATTGTATTTTCGAAAATTTTCTCTCATTTTTGATGGTTGGTACAAGACGATCGTAAAGGGCCTGATCACTTTGAGTACATTCGTGGAAATATCGAGTATCAATTTGTGCTGCTAACAGATTATTGGCTGCGCTTACGGCATGGATATCACCGGTTAAATGCAAATTGAATTCTTCCATAGGAATAACCTGAAAAAATTTTTTTTTTCAAAGATTGATTTGTGCAACTATTAATTATTATTCTATATCTATATATTTTTACGTTGGAAAAAAATATGTAAGTTACTTTATTCACATCTTTTAATAATCGTGTTTGTAATTCATTTCTTGGGGTTCTGATGCTAATGTGGTAGACAATACCTGCGAATACCCTCCACCAGCAGCTCCACCTTTAACTCCGAAAGTAGGTCCTTGACTAGGTTGCCTCAAAGTTACGAATGAATTTTTTCCTCTATGCGCTGTTAACGCTTGCACCAAACCTAACGATGTTGTACTTTTGCCTTCACCGAATGGAGTTGGTGTGATACCAGCAACTACTACGAGTTTTCCATTTGGTTGATTTTTCAATCGTTTTAGAACATTCAAGCTGATCTTTGCCTTTTTACTTCCATAAGGACTAATTTCATTAGGCAGCAAACCAATTTCTTCGGCTAAACTCGTGATCAATTTGGATTCTTGACTCCTTGAGATTGTTATATCGTTAGCTACCGGCTTTTGAGGATTGATCTTCAAAACTCTCAAGTTCCATTTTGGGTTTAATATTTTTTCTGCTGCTTTTTGTGCGGATATTACCGTGTTTTTCATTAACATAGCTACGGTCATTGGACCAACACCTCCAGGTACAGGCGTGATATATGAAGCTACTTTTATAGCTTCAGAATATTCTACATCACCGACCAAACGTTGTCCGTTTTTCTTCGTTGGATCTGAAAGAATTTTTCAAATTATTATCCTATAAATAAATTTAATGATTTAATTGATTTAATATCCATTAATATCTGCAAATAATGAACAAATACTTTTTATAAACATCGATTGTGAACAGCATGAAATTTTTACTTACTTGGGAAAACAACTAAAAAATAACTTAGGAACATCAAGTAATATAAGTTTAACACTGTGACAATGCACAATTTTTTAAGTTTAACAATGTCAGAGAACACGGTACGTGAAATTATATTTACCTGGAATGGAATTGATTCCACAGTCGATTACAACTGCCCCCGGTTTAATCCAGCTTCCTTTAACCATCTGGGGTTGACCAATACCAACCACTAAGATGTCAGCTTGTGAGACCTTTAATTACAATCGAATATTCGATGTTAAATATAGCTATAGGTTTCTTTTCTCGAGTGTTTCGAGGTACAATTGGAAAGGGAATATATTTTAATTTAACAAAGATACTTACAACTTGTGGAAGATTCCGCGTTTTTGAATGACATACTGTTACAGTTGCGTTATGCCATTTTAATAGTTCAGATATAGGTGTACCGACGATTTTACTTCGACCTAAAACTACAGCTTGAGCACCAGCGATCGGTACACCGCTCCTGGAGGACATTAATATGCAATAGATATTATTTATCTATTATACATAATCATTTGAAATATTTTATTAACAATTAATTACTATATTTATCTATTTAAAAAGTTTTCAATGCCTCTGTTTTAAAGTTATAACTTTTCGCGGGTAAAAAGCGTAACAAATTCTACGTTGATTGAACAGAATAAAACTATTTTCAACATACTTTTTAATAAGTTCAATGCATCCATTTGGGGTGCATGGTAAAAATCCCGTCATATCACCAACGGCTATTTTTCCTTCGTTGATTGTGTTTAATCTAAAAAAAGGACAGAATATTATATTCCAGATTTTCTATTTTGCAAATAGAAAGAATTATTCCTTATTTTCAGTCGTGAATAAAAATTAATTTTTCCTAATAATGCGTTGCTTTGACGAAAATATTATGATAGTTTCCAATGAAATTAATAAAAAAAAAAAATCGTTATCGAGTTTGCAAATATTCAAACGAAAGACATTTAACGATTACATTCTTATCACATAATGCGAGATACTTTGCGTAATAGGTCATAGTAATGACGTTCTTTTGTATACATTTCTTTCTTTCTTAAAAGTTTTTTTCGTCATTTTCTTATCTCGTAACAAGTTTTTAGAAATTGATCAGTTTATACGCGTGTAAAATATAGGCTAAAAAATAGGCATTAATTACATGAAATTTCTGAAATTAAAATTAAAATATATTAAGAGATAACGAACAAAGACTTACCCATCTACATCCTTTTCGGGTGATACTAAATCGGTAATCAAATGAGAGTTAATTTTATTAATACTATCAAGCGGCATTTGTACAATGATTCCGTGTATGCTTGGATCATTGTTCAATTTGTTTAGCTTGTTTATCAATTCTATTTCTGTGATGGTATTTGATAATTTGACGTGATCTACGAAAATCCCAATGTCACTTGCCGCTTTTATTTTCATTCTTATATAAACATTTGAATCTTCTCGGTTCCCTACTTGAACGATCGCTAAACCAGGTACATAATTTGGTAATTTTTCATTCAATGTTTTCACATCTTTATGCAGTTTGTCGCGAATTTCCCTAAGAAAGCGAAAAATCACGATATTAATATATGGTATTTTCGATATTAAATTATCAAATACGTAAAATTTACAAAGGATAACGTACTAAATTCGTTAAGTTAATAATGCATCTGTTTCGTATATTTAAATTTGGCGGGTTTTAATGCGCACGTGTGTACCCACGTTTTCCAAAGAATAACATGCAATTAATCGTTTTAGTGAACATCGAAGATTTGATTTCAGGTATTATCTGTGTTACCGTGAACATTCTCTTACTATTATATAATCAGAGTATACATAACCTCGCATAGAAAAAGAAGCATGCTTTTATAAAGCGTATAATTATTAAGAATTTATTTAAGAATTAAATTCCAAAAGATACGATCATCAAGTGTAACGAACACTATCGACCTCTATGCGACTTTCAATAATTGAAAAATTAATTTGAATTGTTATTCGTATTTGGATAGTTTTTTATTTTAAAATTCATTCCACGTGGAAGATCAGAAATCGACAAATTATTTCAAAGATCTGTTTCGATGGGTCTAATATGTTTAAGAAAGACCTATACTTTGAACATGTATATGTAGCCATTTCTATAGTTCAAGATAATATAACTTACTTTGCCAATTCTGTACCAGATAACATAACTCCTTGTACATCCGTCGACATGATTCTATAGAAAGATCTACAATCACAAGAGAAATTACTGTATTATTTTTAACGACTGTACACTGCGTGAATTAAGATCTAAAGGAAAAAGATATAAACTGATACGATCAATCACAGATTTACTGCAAGACCGATACTGGTCGAATGAACAGTGTCAGCCAACTGGTTTACAAGCAATTCAACTCGTGATGTGTGTATATGCCATTGTAGCGATAGCCTTATGCGAGCTGTTCACACAACGAAACGTCCATTCGGTTATTTGAATTCTCATATTCATCCGATATTTAAACATAAACAAAATAAAATACCGCTTCGTATGATTGTTTTTTCTTTTTATTATTTAATTATCATTCGATTTATAGTAATTTTTTTGAAATTCTTTCATTCAATTAAGGAACATTTATAGCACGAATTATACGTATCTATTAATATATTGTATGAGTTTTCCGCGATTTCTTCGCTTGTACTTTTTACATTTTTTTTTTCCCCACTAATATATTCGTGTTTTCATTTTGTTGGAGCAAGTATGTTATAATAAAATTTAAAAGAGTATTACAAGAAATATCGGTCTTACTTGAAAGTTTGCTGTATTCGTGTCATATTATAAAGACGATTCGGTAGGGACTCAATGGTTCATTAACAAAAATGATCTCCATGGGAGGCAAGAGAATGTTGAAATTATAATTGATAAACTTTGACATCTATATTATTTAAGATATACGCACGAAGAAAATATTATTATGTTTACGGGACGTGAAGCATTTACGAGTAAAACGATCTCTTTTTAAATTGATGATATTTTATGTTCGTATAATAATTCAGTAATAATCAGCTTTGAACAACTGAATTATAACGTGGAATACGAATGCGATAATGGTAAGAATATTTTCCTTATCTATTGTGCTTGCACGAAATGTTTTGAAATCGTTTCTAGTAAATAGTTGAGAGACGGTTGACAGAAATGATTTCTCAAATCTTATCAAGTCAACTGTTCTAGACGTCAAAACTTATAATATGTTGCTGAAAACAATTAATATTCTAGCTAAATGAGATATGACTGACATTTTAATATTTTTAATATTCGTTTACAAAAATTCGAAAATTTCATATTCTGAGAATATCTTGAAAATCGATATATAGTACAATTAACAAATTTTAAAACTGGACCAACCGAACGTACTTGTATGATATTTGACTATATATTTATAATCAATGAATTGTGGTTTATTTTAATTTTAAATGCAAACAATTTTTCGAAATCGTCGGTTCATCAAAAAATGAAAAGAATTTGATAATTAAAAAAATTAAATCACGTCAAAAGAAGTTGTGTCTTTACAGAAAAAAGTAATTCGTACTGATTAGAACAATTATTTTTTATTTTATATTTAACCGCGAGTTTAGTTAAATAGTATACAGTTAATATATATGTATGTTCAATTAGGAAGGCTCAAACTTGTTTATATCGAGCATTGGGAACAATATAAATTACAATACTGGAACTTTGTTGAGAATCATGCAAAAACAGCTTGCTTCCCTCATTCCGTTCCATGTTTCAAAACCCACGAGTCGATAAACCCATCTAATTTACTGTGGACGTTCTCCAAGCTAAGCAAAAACCGAATTTAAGCTTCTTGAAGCTTTATGACGATTAATTTCACTATCGCAACGTTGAAACAGTTGACCTATTAGTTATCTTTCGAACGGGGAAATTGAGATAAGATTCATGTAATCATGAATAGATTTAATAAGAGTCATATTTCAATTTTAAGTAAAGTTTTTCTTTTTGAAATATTAAAACAATTTGTCATTTAGAATTGATCTGTAAAATGATTGTTATTTTTCATTAAATAGTCGTACACTTGTTAGGAAAACGATAAAATTTATTTTTCGTCGAGTATCATCGTTTCGTGCGTATTATATTTTCAATGGACACTTAAATTTGATTTTTGTAAAATATTGTAAAAAAATTAAATTCTTTGAGAGTTCTGAATATAAAAATTTTTGTGAATTTTTAATTTTCTTTAATAAAATTTGTTTAGGTAAATTTATAAGTATTTCTTCATCAATATTAGTTTTCTTAAATATCTTTTCGATATGTACAAAAATAATTACAAGAACGTGAAAGAGCATGTAATACGTGATGTTTTTAGACAACTAAACTGATTTAACCAAAAAAACTGGTTAACTAAATTAGTTAGAAAGTTGTTTAGATAGATGATTAATCAAATTCGTCAAACATAAAAAGAAAACCAGATGAAATCACGATCAATAATTGACAGATCAGATAGTTTGAAGGAAATCTTTTATAATTTTTAATCTATTTATCATGTTATGAATGATCGAAAGCTCGTTGAAACACGTGTAATGGCGCTTGTCAGTGATTGAGTTCCTTAATCAATGTCTCGATAATCTGAAAAGACTTTACGTCCGTTTGAAACGGCTCAATGAAATTAAGCATAGCATGTTCTACGTCCTTTATCCGGTCTTCTCGCTGATTGGGGGATCTGTAATGTCGTTAGGCCGTGGTTTTCAACCGTTCTGCCGTTTCGCCGTTCGAGGTCGAAGCAAGCGGCGAAGATTAGTAAGATTAACCAAGATCCTCCTTCTGCGTGGCTTTCCGCGTTCTCAGAAGGGCGGAAGTCTGACAAAGGATCGCGTTTCGTGGCTACATCTTTGATGGTTCAGATTCTCCCCCGTGTTCCTGGCTCATGATGAACCGATCCTGGTCCACGTCTCTATCTTTATTTCTCTCATAATGAGTTTAATCCTTAAAATAGTATCGTTCGTTCATAGATGATTACAGTAGTTCAGTTACATCAGTAAGATTTGAAATATTTGATTTTGTACTCTCCGTGATAGTAGAGTTTCGTAATAAAATTCGATTGAAACTAAAGTAACTCCCAAATTACTATTCGGGAAACGGCTCGATGATATCGGTTACGGTTAATTATGTTGTTTCTAAGTTTTATAAAAAATTTGGCTAATATTTTCAATAGAGTGTAACTTATGATAAAATTAGAATTAGAATTAGATTTTATCCTTCGTTAGAGCTGCCGTAAGAATTTCTGTTAGAACGTCAGCAGACACTGCAAGATACGTAGTTCAGCTGATCGACAATATTTCATGGAACTTAGACGCACGTAAACGGTCGGATCGCTAACTGTTTAAGTACACTTCCAAGGCAATCCCCGAAGGACCTACGCTCGCGCAAGTCTCAAATCTCGCGGGTCTTCGTAGCTTAAAGTTAATTAATATTTGACCGACGGTAGCAAGGTCGAAGATCACGTGGAAATTGGCGGTCTCCGTGAAATTACTGGATCGATGTAGCAATCGGCATCCATAATTCCACGGCGATGTGAGATCCTACGTTTAAATGCTCCTCCTACGTGAAACTATTTACCATCTTCGTGTCGTCGTGTGTGATTTACTTATCGAGTTAGCTTCTCTCCTTCTTTCACATGTCGATTTCCTCTCTGATATGACAACTCTACAACTCAATCTTCATTCGCAAGATTTGCCTGGGGCGATCTTCAGGCCAAAATCAATATTACTCTAACTTCTATTTGACTTTCGTAGAAATTGTTTGGTCATTTTGATATTCTTGGCGAAGTGAACTCTTTTTATTAACGTTGCTCGACATTGTCCAATAATATGTTAGTTACTACTTTGTTCGTTTAGTTTCTTGCTATTGCTTTGCTTGAAGGTTCGAAGTTGGTTTTCTGGCAGGAAGTGGCCAGTTCTGGAGAAATTTTAAAATTTGTCCAACACATTCGGACAATCCGGTTTCACCGGAATAGAAACTGGAATTGAATAGTACATTATATCGAAGAATAAGGTGAACGTTAGAACGTTTTTTTGTATTTCTATTGATCACTATTGTAGATGAATAGAGCAACGACTTTCGTAAGAAGCATTTGCATGAATAGAAAAATATGATACGAACGTAAGCCTTCGTAAATCGACTTCAAGGTTCATGTATCTTATGTATTTCAAACATAACGTATTAAAAATTAAAGATTATTAAACTAATATTTTCTTATTCGTACAGTATCCCGGCAAGAAAAGATTATAATATATAAAATATAAGATGTAAAAATTATTTTTTAATCTTTGATTATCATAATTATAAAAATATAGAATAATTCAGTACAACAATAATTTTTTTCCTATTTTTGTAAAGAAAATATAATATACTAAAATTAGGTCCAGTTTTAACAAAAATAAATACAATCACTTATCGTTTAATTAGACCGAAGTTGCGGTATGCAGTGGAAATCAATTGATTCATGTACTCTATTTTTTTTTTAAACGAAAAATTGTAGGTAGTAAAAAGTATCAGTTCAAACTTTTATTATACAAACTCGTGTAAATGAAGTCCTACTATAGTTAATTTCCCTTTGTTTCACAACCAACATTCAAATTACAAATATCAGTACTAACCTTCTTTCATTCCTCTATGGATCTCCATCATCAAGAGATCTTCTCATGGATCCTCCAAACTCTCTCCGAAATACCTAGACAGATTTTCGTTTCACTTTCCATCTCTCGACCGGTTATTCCTGTCCACCGCATCTTTCGTTCCTTCTACCGACACTAATGCTACTCGAATCGGTACCGGTTGAGCGTTCCGTGTTCGAACGAAGGGTGCCGGTTGATGGTAGAAGATGGGGTGGGTTTGTAGCTCCGTCGTGGAATAGGTACGTACAGATTCCAACTTCTGCGGATAGTTAAGCTTAAGGGTTCTACGGAGAAACTAGCCTTGGGGGTGACTGGGGCCACGGATGATCAGGGCTGAAGTAAACTGGCGCGGAGGGGCGATAGCGGGGAGAGGGAGGGAGAGCGAGGCAGAAGGAAAGGGGCTGGATTGGGTGTTATAGGGTGGAAGATTTCTCCATCTCGGATAGCAAAGCAACTTGGACCGCAAATTCCTTTACGTGGTTCAGCGTGGAGTGCATCCGCTGCTGCAGAGTCAAGGAACGAACTCGATTTCGTTAATAGGTCGCGTTTAACTTGTGCATTTTATTCGCCGGATATAGCGGAGGGGCTTTCAACTTGTTTCTCGAACAGACTCTTGTCGTGGTTCCGTGTAATTGGATAAAGAGTGAGAGGTGATCAATTTTTTTCAATCTCTTTCGATGGTTCCAACTTCGACTCGCGACGATAAGAGTCGCGTTAATTTTCTGCTTTTATTTTTGTTTGACTAGGAAAATGAATATAAATTAATTCGTGATTTATTCATGTTTTTCAAGTGACGAAAATTTCGATTTTATTGATACTTGTCGAGAGAAAAGGGTAGGAAAGGATAGGAATGATGTAAGAATCATAGAACCATGTTAAAATATATACCACTGATCAAAGTTTAGAATTATTATAGAATTCAATAGTCTAAAAAGATATCAGTTTAAAATATCTCTAAGCTTAGAACTTTTAGTAAAAATCTATAGCGATGAAAGAAATAAGTACGGATGTCTGTGCTATTAATTTTGAACGAATAATAGTTTTAATGTATGAAGCAGGAAACCGATTTTTGGTTAGAGAAGGTTAAAATAACCAATAAATGTGCAATCAATATCAAATTTATTAGGAATGATTTTGT